GTTGGAATCCAGAGTAGGGAAAAATGCATTAACTGAAAAAAAATAGAAGTTACTTGTCTCATTATTGGAGTACCATAATTATAGTTGAGTTTCACTATGAACAACTGCTCCTTGATGGTTCTTGTTGAGTAATTTTGTTCAATAAGGGTCTGTCAATACAATTTGCTTTCAATTGTCAGTTTATACAATATCAAGAATAATGGGCTCACTGAGGTGCACTTGGAAATTGTAATAAAATACTAATTTGGGGGAAAAGAAAACTGGTAATCATCTGGTTTAGTATTCTACAGTTATGTCTCAGTTTTTTGAGAAGCTCCCTGTAATAAATGCGAATATTACAATGTATATTAGACAAACAGTCATAGACTGTTCATAGACACTGAAAAGGGGATATCCTCTGTATAATGTACTTTATGTAGAGGAGGAGCCCTGTTATTACCTAGTCCAAGACAGCAGTGAGCAAACTGTCCTGCATTACTTCTAAGTTTCTGGAAAGTAAGTGCATCCTCATTTCTTGCATATAATATATCTTTTGAGGCTCACAAGGGTGGACTGTTTTATCAAGTCTAACTTCTTTGCTTCTATTTTCCTAAAATGTAAGACAGCTGGATAATTAACCCTTGCTAAATAAGTGGTAGGAAATTAACTGATGCCCATACTTCATTAAATATTCCCATCACGATACATTCACAGAAGCTTCAGAGAAGGAATTTTGATATTTTTTTCCCCCGTCTCCTACCAATATAATTTGAATGCTGAACAGTATGAAGGGGGTCAGGGAGGTTTGTTTAACAGGGACTTTCCCATTGTTTCTCACAGCCTGGCACCTACCTCTAGTTGTTCTTCTCAACAAAAAATAGGAGTCTAGGTTGAAAGAAACAATAGGAAAGATATTTGCTTTCTCTCCCTTCCTTTACAATCCAGCAAGCTTAGCAATGTCTCTGACACCCTTCACAGACAGCAGCATACAATAAATTTTTCTATCCCTAACTTCTGCCAGGCAATATGGATATGCATTTACATAACAAACCCTTTACACGTGACTGAAATCAAGAACTGCCAATACACAGCAAGAGTAGTAAGGTAAGAATTTCCCCCAAATGCAGCAAACACCACTGTAATTAGTTTGGAAGAGCTGGAATTTGAAGAAATAGATGCAGCACTGGCAATTTAGTTATTTAGTTTTTTCACAACATGCCCATATATGTGTGTATGTATGTGTGTGTGCATGTGTAAATATGAAGGGGTAAGCTTCCACAGCTCATGCCAGTGTAAGTATGATGAGGAGTGTAAATTGCTCAGTGGTTTAAGAATTCCATTTAATGTATGCAAGGATATCACTTGAGAAAAAGCACTTATTGCTTATGCGTATCCATCTGTCATGAACCATTACATTAGAGACCTTCATCAACTAAGTCATGTGAATTTGTACCGCTAACAGGTGGGATAACTAGAAACTAAGTAATTTGTGACATAAATAATAGCTAAATCAAAAGGAAGCTATTGTCTGAAAATGAGCTGCTTTTTTTTTTTTTTTCTCCCCAAATCTAGGACAGATATTTGGAGGCCTGCTGAAAGCTTTGCTTCTAGTGACAGACTTTTGATGCAACTATAAAATATAAGCACTATTGCATTAGCATAGTAATGTCTAGGCTTAAAAAACACCTACATATGAGGCAATTCATTTATGCACAAAGATGTAACACCCTATGCCAGCAGCATAAATTAATCTTTAAGTTGGCTAAATGAAGTTACCTTTTATATAAGCGAACCTCTGCACACTGCAAAAGCAGACACCAAATCACACAAAACTGAACATTTGCTGTCAGTGCAATGGTGAAAGAAATATACTGCCCCCAACTATCGAGTGAAAAGTAGAAAGGTAAAAAAGGAGCCCAACAGCTATGTTGCCCAGCCAAGATCTGTTTTCCAGATACTTATTTATAGCAGGCTTTCCAGTTTAGTTCTGTGTTTCATGTAAAACATCTGCGAGGAATTTTGTAGAAAAAAGATGTAAAAGCATTTTGTCTTTAGTAAGGAATAAATTTTCTGACAATTTTCAAGTAAATCTGCCACTTAGCTTGAGTTAAAGGTTTTGGTAAATAAAAAACATCTCATTATCTTTGTTCCCTATGACCCCAACAGCAGAATAATGCAGGCATTTTAAGCCTTCCATGTAGCTAAATTCACTGAAATCTTACACAATCTTACATGTGAAGTAATTAGGTTATAATTCAGCACAGTTATTAAATGTTAAATACTTCTGTTAGGTTTATGAAAGCTACTGTCCAATATGAGGCCAACAGCTCAGATAATGGCGGTGGGGTCACTGTGCTATCGGAGGCAGCAATCCGGCACGCTTCTCTCCCGTATCAATACGCAGGCAGCAATCCTCTCACTTTTAATGAGAGAGGAAGCCTCGGAGACGGCATCAACACTGCAATGGGCAGCTGATTTTGCCTGCCTGTTGTTGTTCTATCAGCCAGAGACTGCCATGCTAACATGGATATCATTGCTTAAATACCTTCTTGGAGCACTGTTGCCTTTGGTGTCTTTGTTCCTCGGTAAAGCAATACTCAGAAAAAAGGTCAGGTGCTTAGTGCAGTGTTTTTCAATACAAAGGAACAAAGGTTACATCCCTTCTCTGTTTGTACTAAACTGATTAAGGATTCAAGGATGAACTTACATTTTCCACTGAATCATGCCCAGTAAGAGATTCAGCTCTGAGTCTCTCACATCCCAGATCAGTACTCCCTTGAACAAATTTTTAATTTTTTTTTTTTTTTTTTTTTGGCAAAAATGCAGTAAATGTGTGGGGTTTTTATTGCTCACATGTACAGCAAAGCTGGTGTTAGCAATTTAGAAAGTTATTGTGAAATGGAAATGGCATCCTCTGGTCATCTCTGTAACAAAGAGAGGCAATTCAGAATGAAGCTTGTGCTTAATGTAAGTACAAATATGATGAAGTAAAAAGCAAGAGTTACACAGCAGCACTACAGGTAAGATTGTTAAGGTACATTTGTTAACAGCAATTTCTGACTTGAACTGCAGAGTTTCATGCCACCTGCCCCCCCATATGCACATTTTCTCAAAGGAACACATCTCATCCATTGCATTTATGACAGTTCTTCACTGGCTTTCAACTACTTGACAGTCCTCACATTCCAGAAGACAGGCAGTCTCTCCCTTGCTGTGGGGTTGCTGCTTGCCTTTTTTTTTTTTTTTCCTGACGTGATCAAACAATAACATTTATTTCCATTACCTTGCTAGGGTATATATTGCACATCATGTAGTTGCATTTCCATTTTCCCCTATTTTGACTATTTCATCAGAATGAATCAGAATTCTTACTAAAAGACATGTAATAGCAAGGAGCTATGAACTTGTTTTATTAAACAAACCACATTTAAGAGTTCTGATTTAAGTCCAAAAATTGTGATAAAAAGCTTTGCAAGCACTCAGAAAACAACAGTCTTGAGCACCTTATAAAGAAAACTTGTAAGAAGCCAGTGCATGAGTGCAGTTGAGCCATTTGTAATCTAATAGATCAGTGATATGCTTTACATAATGCTATGTTCAAACCAGAGAATTTTATGGGTCCTGGAGTATTTCCTCTTCCACAGAGTTGCTTGGTTACAGATACCAATCTCATCGTGATGCTAACTGCCAAAATAGCCTGAGGGCTATTAAACACTCTGAGATACCCCAAGAAGAAAAAAATATGGTAAGTATTTTTGCAAACTGTTGACAAAAGACACCTGAACCATCATAAGAAAAGACATCAAAGTTGCAGAGAAGCTTCTATTCAAAGAAAATAAACAAAGAAATAGTATTACTTTAAAAAAAAGGGTAAGAATAATCTTGTATTAATGAGGCCTATAATTATTGCAATAAATAAAATAGGGCATAGAGAACAGTTTCTTTTGTATAGCAAATCAATAACATTGAATAATTTTTCCATTTTCTCCCTACTTTTACCATAAGAAATTTTTCCTCTTTAAGAAAAACTGTAAGTCACATTACAGGTAAGATGTCCTGAAAGGATACAAGTGTGGCATCAGCCCATGTACAGGTTAATTTTACATTAAATATATAGTTTGGAAAGGAACAGAACTGAACTTTGATCCAGTTTTAACTATAATTAAGATACATGTATTTATTCTTAATTCATTAGCTGGTGGAAGATGGTGTTTAATGGCTCCAGAAGAGAATGGATAACACAGATAGCCTTTCTGGGAAAGGATACTTCTAACCTGTCCTTCTTCCCTGTTTCAGCCCAGTATCTGAGAGCAGCCCGTTCACCTGGCATAGCGTTCTCTCATTCTTGGCCCACACTCAACCTTACGCCAACCCTCTGGGGTCCCTCGTGCCATCATACAGCTGTGCAGAATACTGTGCTGGCAACACAAGCGATGGGGTTTTCTCACTCATTTTAAGAGAATTATAGTAGTTCAAATTGTGATAGAAGTTATTTAAAAAATGTTAGGGTGGGTTTCATTAGATACAAGTTGCAACTACAGGAGCATACAAAGGATTTAAACACTGTATCAGTAAATAATTAAATTTTGCCTTTCCAAATTTGTTTTGCTCCCATGTTTGGGTAAGGGAATGTAAATTTTTATGGAAGAGTCACAGAGTCACATAAAACCTGGGATTTTATAGAGGCATTTTTAAAGTTAAATTTCCCTGGTGCACATGGGCATGCTTCATGAAGCGCATGATTCGAGGATACCAGGCCTTCTCTTCCAATGTTTAGGGTGACCATTTAACTACGGATCAGTTTCCCTCACAATTTTGCCTATACATTGATTCAGGAAAATAGCTAGCTCCTGAAAAGTAATTTATCTTTTCCATTTCTTTTCAGTTTGGCTCTTTACTGGTAGGGACGTCTACTCTCCCTGTCTGATCAATACCAAATTTTGTTTCCCTAAGATGTGTGGAGAGATGGGGCAAAGGGTGAAGGGTAAAATTGATGTGGGAGAATAGGCTGGAATACCTACCAGAGGAAATGCTGGGGGGTAAAGATCCACCCCCTGACACTGGATGTGAGGCCAGGATGCTATTTAAAAATCCCGCCCTCAGGAATCTCGAAAGAGACTTCACCCCAATGGTCGGAAAGGATCCTTTCAAAGAGATAAAAATGATCATTAATCAAATGACTTGTTCTTTGGCTGATAAAAGAAGTTGACTGTTCAAAGAAAGAATAACCAAATCTCTGCAAAGTTAACAGTGGTTTCACTGGAACAGATCTTATGAAAAGCAGTTAAAAGTCTTTGTTTGCTTTTTAACCAAGTCATACAACACACAGCTTTAACCAGAAGGAGGTTGTCTTCTGCATACTTTGCAAATGGAGAATTCCAGCACTTCTAGGAGGAATGGAAAAATGTGATCTTTTAAAGGCACATTACACTTATTGGATATTCATAATGCATACCAAATGACTCTTCCATAGAGGTATTGTACAGTTTTGTATACAAATCAAAGAGAGACCAGTAGAGGTGAAGCTATACCAGCAAAGCTGTGTTTTATACCAGTATTTTAAAGTCATCTGATAAACCACCTGACAAAAGTCATGTTGAGCAAGGGGAGAAGGGGAACCAGAATTTGCAGCTACATTACTGACTTCTACGTCAGGGCAGCTACATCAGTCAGAGCTTCTATCGCATCTCCTGACACCTGTCAATATATTGATGCAGGGAAAAGCCAAGAGTACAGACACGGTCCCTTTCTGCTTGGCTCTCACCAGAAGCCTAACACATTTTACGCTTTCATTGTAATAAACTTTATTTTCTTCTCATTGCCTAAATGTACAGTTTTATTTCTGGAAACAATGATTATCTCATCCACCTCTTTTAAAGTAAGTACTTGTGACATATCTGTTATAGTGATGATAAATAAGGACTCTCTGTCATTTGATGTACTGTTTCAGCTTTCAGTGTATGTAGAGATTGAGACATCCTTTCAGCTAGCTTGTGTTAGTGCTCAGTGAATGCCAGCATCAAAGATGGATCTGAAACCAGAGCTCTACACGTCTTGCTTAAAAGCACAGAGTCAAGATTCTCCCACCTTGCAATACATTTAAACTGACGATCAGAATGATTTATGTGTTTTTGCAAGTACACCAAGCAAGCATCCATCCAAAAATTTAGGCACTGTCAAGTTTGTTTTCATCATCTTGCAGGTATTTCATAATTGTTCTTTTAAGAGATAGAAAACATCTCAATATTTATATGCAATGAGAAAAATAAATGGCCCTCTTAAAATTTGTGCAACAGTTGTGATTTTTTTTAACTAATAAAAATATAATGAGGAAAATTTAGCCTCAAAACACACATATGTATTCGCTGAACTTAAAGTAGCCTAAGACAGCTTTGAATTTTTCTCTTGTATTTTCAAGCAAGAGTTCCATTGTTTCTCCTCAATACACTTGCCCTTTAAATTTATTATGAGACCTGCTGCAGTCTGTGGAAAAAGAATTAATTTAATTAGTGTTCTGGATGCAGTATTTTTATATGTGATGGCTAAAGATAAGGCATAAAAATTTTCCCTCTGGCCACTCCAGAAAGGCCTTTGGCATTCTTGTAAAAGTGTTTCCAAATTCCATGGCTTTCGTTTTAAAGAATTTTCAGAAGTGATCATGGATGGAGAGTCCAGACTGCAATACAAAGAAATTCAATTTTAAAAGGGAAAACTGTTCCATTAACTCCAAGATGTTTGCTACTAAACAGCATCTTAAAACATGAAGGCTAAAAAATGAACATATGAAGACTTCTCAAATAAAACTTTGCTTCTCTGTTTCAAAATATGAATTATACCAACCATAAAGTACACCCACTGTGAGTCACATGCCATATGTACAGACCTTCATAAAAGCCAAACAGCTTGAGCTTCACCATTGACATTTTCCTACATCTAAATGGTGTTAAATGGCAAATTACTCAAGTTTCCTAGCAGTCTTACAATAAGTTACTTTGTTATAGAAAGCAATGAAGACAAAACCAAATTTATTTCACTTATTTCACTTATTGTACGTATTCAGAAATAAAAACAAGGAGCAGCAAATTTTGGAGCAGTACAATCTGTGAATACTGAGAGCTAGAGAGCTAAAGTTATCGAGGCTTTAGAAGCAGCAAATAGCTAAAAGAATACATATAAATAATGTTTTTCTCTCACACTTAAAAGGTAGGATTCAGTTGCTTAAGCGTAAATGCTTTGTGTCATTTGAGATGCTCCAGAAAATCTGAGACATTCACACTTGAGTGGCAGAGATGACAAGATCTGCAGGAGATTTGCACTCTTTGGCAGTAAGAGGCAAAGCAGTGGTTGGGTACCTAAGAGTAGGTACCTAGTGTCATTTTAGGCAACTGAATCCCATCCAAATAGTCTACTGTCACCTCAAAAACGTCTCTGATTAAGTAGCATACAGAGTTACGAGAATGAGACCTCATTCAGTCTCTTCTAGAAGTCCACAAGCAGCTTCTGAAAAGGACAAGGTTGATAACATTCAGCCCTGATCAGTATCCATCGACATAAAAATGCAAAGGAGAGGTTGCAAGTTGCTTCATCTAAAAACATGCATGGTCCTAAATTAAAATACTGCATATGCCCCAGAATGAACAAATGGGTGCTTGTGGTACAATTGCCTGGACAATGTAAATAAGGGTTTGAAACTTTATTACATAGCTATATATGTGGAAGCTGATTATCATTGGAGGTAGTTGGGAAAGTAAATTAATTCTCATAAGTCCCATCAATCTCCACCAGAAGGACAGAGGTTTCATAAGAGCTTTGGGCATTTACTGTAGTTTAGAATCTTACTCAAATTTTTACTTTTTTCAATAAATATTATTCATGAAATATTTGAAAGAAAATCTGCAAAAAAAAAAAAAAGTGTTCAAGACAGAAAGGGAGAAAGCTCTTTGCTAACACAACAAAGAAGGGAGGTGGGAACACGATATTAAAGAGAAAACACCTGCTTCTAAGAAATATTAAGAATTTCTGTGTGGAAATCAAAGAAGAAGTATTGCATTTCCTTCTATCTGAACAATTTTTTTTAATTGGACAATGAAGTCTCTCCTCTTTTTCCAAATTGGAATCATGCTTAGCTAAAGAAAAAGTCCACCAAAAATGTGCCTGCTACTTTATGTCCTGCTGCTTTAATCTTCAAATTGCAAAAGCAATATTCATTTTTTACAGGTGTATGCTAGCAGTAGAAATCTTAATGCTTAATTTAAACAATCTCTTTAAAGCAGCACACTGGACACTTTCAAGATGCTAGGATATTATTTCTTTAGTTAACCAACTTTCTTGAGAAACGCCATTCTGTCAGTGCACACCATACATGGACTAGTGCTTTACACCTTTTCTGTTGTTTTGTCTAAAAATTAACACTAACTTTTGCAGTGGGTTCAGTTACACTAATGAGAAGAGCTTTTAGTATAAGGTCTTACTGGATCTAAACTGGGAAAAGGAGACATGAATATTAAGCCATGACTCCTCAGTGCCCTGAAATACAGCTGTTATTTAGCAGCGTACAGACATGGATTTATTGAGAAAAAACCCAACCTCTGCCCCCTACATAGCTATACACTATGAACATTATGCCACCTTAACATGGGAAACTACATTAGTTACAGATATTAGTTGGAAATGTGCATTGAAACAGCAAAAATATATGGCAATGCTCTGAATAGCTGACAGTTCATGAAGTATACACCATTTACTGAGTTCTGCGATACCAGTTTATAACTCAGCATAAATTCTTCTGTTTCACAATTATTACAGCTAAGTGCCTGTGCTCAGAGGCAGTGGGGGAGTGCTGAATCAATTAGCCTGCCTTCCACCTTCATCTGCCATTCCAGGGGGAATATCATCCCACAAATGGTAGAATTTGATAGGGAAATCACTGGTGTAGCATCCTAAATTGGCATGGTTTTAGTAGCGTACTATCGCACAGAGCAGAAGGGCAAGAGTAGATAGCTGGGTAAAGGAAACACACGTGCTTAGTTCAGCTCCAGAGCACATCCATTAATTCACACACATTTATTAGCACTTGCATCACATCAGCATGGCCAGCCAGAAGGAACAGCAATTTCTTGCCACACCAAAGGCACATCCCACAGCCCAGGGCTAGTGGCAACGCAACTGTGCTGAGGAGTCCCAGATCTGCAAAGGAGAGAAAGTTCTGCCATGCGTCTCAACAAAAGTACTGACCAGATGGATGGTTGGATGGATGGACAGAATGACACAAAACACACCCGGTGCAACATGGGTAAAACAAAATGGACTAGTGTGAAACATATAACTTCTCCTGCAATGGGGGCTGGAGGTGCCCTTGTAAGCTATAGCAAAAAGCACTTAAAAGGAACGAACTAACTTGCACTTTAAAAATCTCAGGCATTGAGCAAGCTGAGAAATGTTAATAATGTCAGCATTATTTTTGCTGCTGACACTTCACAGAGACTTCCACCAGAAGACTGATGTCTGCTGACTTGAGTGCAAACATTCCCACCAGTTTTGCTCCCATACGCAGTACAGTGCCAGCACAGCGCCGGTCGCCCGCAGGGGTCTGCATCCCACCCTTTCCTCTTCGCCAGCTGCCGCCTTCCTTGCCCCACTACCATCAGCAGCACTTGAGCCGATGCCGTGGCAGCCTCTAGACCCCCCGCAGGACTCACAGAGATGCGAAGCCGCTGAATCACGCAGGTACAGGCAGGCAGGGCCATCAGCTTGTGCCAGGGTTCCCCAGCCATGCTGGGAGCAAACTAAACACTTTTTTTTTTTTTTAACTATAGCAATTGTACTTCTAGGACCTTAGCGCATCTTGTGGAAATTTGCTTTTAAAAAGGATTTAAAGGTGATTTCTACGGTCTCTGCACTGTGTCTTACAACCTGGCTGAAGTAGGTTATTAGAAAGCCTACTGAAGATGCAGACTGCTCTTCAGCCCTGTTATTTGTTGTTGTTTTTTCTGATTTATTATACTTTAAGCTGAACCAATGCTTTCCATAGGTGGAATTGACCACTTCAGGTGCTGTGTACTTTTGGGCATCTAACAGCTTGAAATTCAAAAGGAGCTCTTTTGCTGCTTAATTTAATAAACTAGAAGGAGGTGTTCGAGAGAGG